GGCTATTGCAAGTATTTGGGTAGTCCTGGAAAAGCATCGAGATGAAAGTGCCTGATTTACTGCTGTGGCTGTTCTAAATTCAGAACATCCTCACACCAGCCAAGCCTTCTCTTTAACAGAAATGTGTGTACGACGGGAAAGATAGGGAAGCCGGCTGTCTTAGTCAGGATTCTCTAGAGAAAGAGAACCAATTATATATATTACATATGTATAGGTAGTCCCCAACTTACGACGAGGTTCCGTTTCAGTTCTGACGTAAGTCAAATACCTCTTTTTTTTTTAGTTTTCATTGTTGTTGCCTTTTATTATCAGTACCTTTATAAATCTGATCTTTATTTGTCTTTGGGGGTTGGAAACATCACATATAAACATCAGCAAATTACACGCTGCAGCATTGTATGTAGTACATATTACCAATGACACAGAACAGACAGTTGTTAAGTGCGGTTCATCTTAACTGGACTATGTCGTAAGTCAGGGACTATGCATATATATATGAGGGAGAGAGAGATTTACTTCAAGGGATTGGCTCACACAATTGTGGGCGTTGGCAAGTCCAAATCTGTAGGTCAGGTGACAAGCTGGAGACTCCTGCTGGCTCATGGATTGTGGAGGTTGGCAAGTCCAAAATTCATAGGTCAGGCAGCAGACTAGACTTCTACGGGCTTGAGTCCCAATATCTGCAGGTCAGGAAACTGGAAGAGTGCAGAGTTGAGAGAGAGTGGGGAGAGAGCTCTGCCAAAATATCTGTTTACAGTCTGAAGGCACACCACACCCTAAAGAACTCCCTTGTCAACTGATTGATTGATTACATGGAAGATAATTACATTACAGATGATTGCATTACATTGCATTAGATTATATTATGGAAAGTGATTACATTACATTGTATTAGATTATATTATGCAACAGCAACTAGACTAGTGTTTGGCAAAACCACTGGGAACCATAGCCTAGCCAAGTTGACATGTAAAATTAACCATCATTCACACTGGTCAATCATTAAAAGTCTCTCAGAAACCAGTGTTTCTAATCACCCTTTGTTGGGTACCTAGGAGGCTTGTAAACCTGGAATAGGCCCCACAGTAAGCCTCAGAGTGGATGAGGGCTGTGAGAACTATCCTCAGCCAGCCTCGACGAAGGTGCATATGAAGGTTGAGGATCTAGAAACTGATCCCTTGAAGTTTTCTGAGCAGAACACCTCTTGGAGAGCATTTTTGTGCTCTAGGGGGGCTTGTACCCCAATTTGAAGATCTCTGCAGTGCAGGTCTGAAGCGAGACCCCAGATCTTGTTAACTTTATTGTTACCTGATCCCTGCTCTCCAGTGTTCATCACATGCCTTAGCCAGTAGGATTAGAGCCATCCCAGGATTTCAGGGGATGGCCTGTGGATCTAACAAGGTGATGGAAGATAGGTCTGGTTCAATAAAGTAGACTTAATCAAGCTCTTGGGAAGCCCAGCTCAGCTGCCCCACACCTGTAGAAGGGCAGTATGACCCTCAGGACACAGGCGCCTTGACCTCCAAGCTCCCTGTGGGAGGGGCTCCCCTCCGATGGGGTGGCTGGAGTGGGTGTGGGCTCCCAGTAATGTGTAAAATCTGGGTGCCAGTGCAGCCTGACATGCTCACACTGCTGGTGGGGTCGACCACACATTGTCCTTCTAGGGCAAGCATACGGAGCGACAGCTCATGCTTTGCAAGCTGGCTGGCTATAGGGTAGGCCAGACACAAGTTTAGATACTGTGCTGGGCTGGGTCTTGGCTTGATTTCCATGGACGTGGCTGAGGTTGGGCATCTCATTGCCTCTTTCTTGGGAATGAGAGAGATGAGACTGTGGGCCAGCTTGGCAGGCGCCAGGGGCAGCTCAGCCTGCTCTTAGGCAGAGCATAGGGCACCTTGGGGCTGGGGGACTCAGTGCTCAAGAGGGAGCCCTGTGGCCTCTCACAGCATGGCCCCTGGCTGCCCTGGGACCCTTGGCCTGCAGGGGAGGCCGTGGAAGTCCCAGAGTGTAGGCCCTTCTGACGACTCTTCTGCTCTGGTCCCCACAGTACCAGGTGGACCCTGCCCAGCTGGCAGCAAGGCGGCTGCAGGTGTCTGTGTGGCATCTGGGTGTGCTCACTCGGCGGGTGTTTCTGGGAGAAGTGCTCATTCCTTTGGCCACGTGGGACTTTGGAGACAGTGCAACACAGGCCTTCCATTGGTACCCGCTCCGGCCCAAGGTAAGGCCTGGCTTGGGACTGCCCATTTTAAGGGAACCCCACCCCCAGCCGCAGAACTGAACTCGCTTTTCAAGGGGGATCCCCGAAGGCAAAGCCAGCTGGGAGGTGGAGACCTCAGATGCACCGCGCTTGGGCCTGCCAGCTGCGACTTCGAAATACAAACCTTGTAGGCGAGAAATGGCTCCATGCAGGGTTTTTCCTGGATGGAGTTGTCCTTGTGCCGTCAAGTAGATTCTAACTCATAGCGATGCCGTGTGACAGAGTAGAACTGCCCCATAGGTTTAGCAGGCTGTAGTGTTTACAGGAGCAGAAAGTCAGGTCTTTTCCCCCCCCGAGAAGCAGCTGGTGAGTTTGAACCGCTGACCTTTCAGTTAGCAGCCCAGTGCCTCATGGTTGCGCCACCAAGGTTCCTTTGGGTGGGGTTAGGCTGAGATTTTTTTTTTAACCTTCTCAGGTTTGTTCACGCCCACGATAGCCCCGCTCTTGTACAGCACTAACACTGGACATCAGCCTGGTCCTGGCAGGCCTCCTGTGGGCACTCCCTTGTGTTGGTATCTGGTGGAGGTGTAGGGGCGGGCTCGGCCTTCTTTACCGGGCTCTTCAGGCACAAAGGCCCCCGACTGTGGCCCCATCATGCTGTCCCCTGTGGGACCATGCCACAGTCACCCACCTGCCCAGGTTATAATGTGTCATTGTTTCTGAACTCTTGACCCCAGCCCCCTCCCCCTCCAGTAATAATGGTGAGTAGTCAGCAGCACCCGGCCCCAGGTTTGTCTGACTTTGCAGCAGCGTGGGACAGCAGACCAACTGGGCAGGGCAGGTGAGCCAGGCCGGGGAGAGGGGCCAGTGGGTGTGATCTGAACCTGCGTGCACAGGCCCTGCAGGTAAGAGGAGACGCAGGGAGGTGGGGTTCGCATTCCGCAGGAGCTCCTCTTGCAAACGGTTGTACCCAGATCCAGGATGGGGGCTACTGCAAGTGAGACAGTGAGGGGAGTAAGCGTGGCTCCCGCCAGCTCTGTGCAAGGACAGCAAAGCGCTCACAGCAGGCCCACTCAAATGTCACGGGTGTCCCCTTGCTTCTTGAAGCCGAGTTGTGGTACATCTGCTCAGAGACCACGTGCTTCCAGCCACTCGAGGGGAAAGCCCAAGGCATCGGCCCAGAGCCCCCACTGGCCCTGTGCCCACTCACCTTGCCACTCCGTGCCGCCAGGGCATCCCCCCAGTGCGCCCTGCTGGGAGCCTTGGTCCATGCTCTGCCCTCCACTAGGAATGCTCTCTTTGTACCCCGGGGTCTTCCTACAAGACTTCCTGTAATCCTATCTCCTCCACAAAGCCCTCCTGATTTTCCCTACCCGAAATGGTCTCTCCCCCAGGGTCCAGGGCTCTGGGGGTCCTGCTTGTCTTCTCCCTGCTAAGCTCCAGGGGTGGGGAAGGGGGGACACTGCTGCTACTCGGTGTCCTGCTGGATGGACATGCTGGACTTGACCTCCTTCACAGGCATCAAGAAAGCTGATTTAAAGGGAAAAGAAAAGCCCTGTCCATTGAGCTGCCCTTCTCATTCCTTTACACCCACTCGCCCCTCTCCCCCGAGGAGGGAAAGCAGTTGCACCAGGCCTGCCTTCCCAGGTTTCCTCCCAGGCCTGGCGCGCCACCGCCGCCCCCGTGCTGGGGTCACGCTGAAGGAACTGCTGCTTCTCAGGACGCCCCAGGCTCTCTGGCTTCTCTGCTGCCCCGTTTGCCCTGTCTCTCTCTCAGATGAGCACCTCCTCCAGGATGCCCTTCCTGACTCCCTGCCTGGGCCCACCCTCATCAGAAGTTGGATCCCTCCACTTACACGGGCTCCACTGTAGGCTGTAGTTGAGGGACTGGAATGGAGTCACCTCTCTCTCCAGCACTTGGCACAAAGCCAGGTGCAGAATGGGCGGCCACAAACGTTTGTGGAACTGAGACTCCTCTGCTGAGCAGACAAGGAGAGACAGCACCAAGTCAAAGGGTGTCTCCCGATTCCAGCTGATGGTCATGAGCCCCTAGCCTGGAGCCGAGGGTGGAGGTGTCTTATTGCAGTTGGCACCCAAGGGCCAGCTTCTTCCGTGCCAGCAGCCCTCCTTACTGCTCCTGCCCCGGAACTGGATGGAGTGGAAGTGCAGCCCAGGTTGGGGTGGGGAGCTGCCACCCACTGCATAGTCCCAGAGCGAGCCCTTGCTGTCACCTGTGGGCTGCTTCTTGCTGGGGGTGGACTCGCTGTCTCACAGGAAGGAATCTAAGCCCTCCCTGCCCTCTCCCCACCCACCTCCACTGGGTGGAAGGTGGATTCGATTTCAGGGTCTTCCCTTCGCTGAGCCTTTCCTTCACTCGCTTCTGGCAAAATCGCTGATGATCAGAGAAGCTGTCTCTGTAGGCAGGGAGGTGGGGGCGGGGGCACAGGGAGAAGGTCAGACGACCACCGATGGGGGTGAACTCGTGGCTCTGGGCAGTTTGTGGTTCTCCAGGCCGGGGTGTCCCTGGCACAGAAGAGGAACTCCATCTTCACTGGCCTAGGTGGAAGGGATGGGGCCATTGATTTTAGTTACTTTTTTCAAATCCAGGTTGTGTCCAGGGTTTCTTAGGATGACCCTGTGGGGATGTGCCAGTGCCCTGGGAGGCCCTTTGCTCCGAGGCCCCTTCCTCTGGTGGCCCCTTTCTCTGGTGGGCTGCCTTCCTCTGGTGGGCCTCTTCCTCTGGTGGGCCCCCCTCCTCTGGTGGGTCCCCTTCCTCTGGTGCGTCCCCTCCTCTGGTGGGCAC